TTAATTGGAAAAACTCTTTTACACCCTTGCGGGTGTAGTAAAAAGGAGGTGTGACACTATAGAGTTTGGTGGACCCTTATATTCTATCAGTTTTCTTCTTTCGTCTTCGGTCTCATCCAATAGCTGGTGGTCGGACTCCAGAGTTACGTGGATAACATCCCCCTTAGGCTTACGGGGCCTCCTGGCCGGCCTTTTCTTTTCAGGGCTTAGGGAACTCGGAGCCTCCTTCCTTTTCTTCTATTTGCCCTGCTTCGGGGCAGACGGGGAAAGGAGTGCCTCTTCTTCAGCAGAGGGGGGCCTCATTGGCACATCCTTCCCGAGGCCTATAAAATGAAAAGGAGGAGTAAGTACAATAACAAAACCCTAATGGAAACCTTTCTAAGGAAAGAATATTATCATGATTACAAGTCTCCCACTGGCCCCTTGAAAACTCCATCCAAGCACGCTCGGAATAAGTTTTTTGTGACACCAATCCCTCGACCCTTTGCCTCAGGCCGGGGATCACTTCCGACACAACGGCCATAGCTGCAACACAAAGATTTAGATGAGGGGAAGACAAGAAGTAAAACGGAAAAAATGGATACTCAAAGGCAGAACAGTACTTACGTTTCATGTTCCACTTTTCGGGGAACGGCATGTCTTCAGTAGGAATTAGATCCAAAGTCTTTATTTGGACACATCTTCCCATCAAACCTCGGTCTCGAGTTTCATCTATGCTTGAGAACGGCGGTCTGGTGGCTCGACGATGGAGCTTGATCATGCCTCCACGATAAAGTCGAGGGGCGTAGAGGCGCATGAGGTGATCGAGGGTAAAAGGATGCCCCTCGATCTTGCTTAAAAAGAATCAAAGGAGGATCACGATCCTCCAAAACGGCGGGTGGATTTGGCCCAAAGTGACATCGTACCTCTTGCAAAAGGCAACGATGATAGGGTCTAATGGACTTATCGTAAAAGGGTAGGTATAGACACTCAAATACCCTTCCTTGTGAGTTGTGATGGATTCCTAGGGGCTAGGCACTACTACATCCTTGCCTACCCAGTTGCACTCCTTTTCACCTTCTCAAGGAGACCTTCTGTAATCGTGCTCATATACCTCGACATTGGTTCAAATGGACCCGGTGTCGGGGGTGTATTCTCCACTGCACTTCATCGCAACGAAGTCCGCAAGGGGGTATTCCGCTGCGGCCGCGGCGCCAGCGGGCTTTTGAATAAGTAGCCTTTTCTTTCTGTGGAACAGTTTTAGAGGTTTTTGCCATTTTTGTTTTTGTGAACGAGGAAGAACGGGGATTAGGATATTTGGTATTTTGAAAAGAGGATAGCAATGAAGCTTGAAGATTTACAAATGAAGGACTTGGAGAATGGAAAGAGCTTTGAAGATTGTAGCAGAAGAGATTGAAGTAAAGTCTGAATAAATGGAAAAAATACCTATTTATGGGTTTCATGGCGACGGTTCAAAATTGCTACTGGCCGACCGGCAACTGACGCGCCATAAATGCCTTGGAAACTGAACCGATGGGATGTTTCGGTCACTTCTGCCACTTACGTGACGATGCTTACGTCATGATAAACCGGGGGTAAATTCGAAGACTCAATTTATTTCTTGTCATTACACTCCAAGAGACAAGGGGGCTATCTGTATACGGTCAAAATCGAGATTGCCTAATTTTGCTGATTAAACGAGACGGGGGGGGGGGGGGTAGGGTCGAAGATCGGCCCCATAGCATGTCGGACCGAGGCACGAGCATAAGGTACAAACTTCGGGATTCGAGGTACTTATCGAGATCGAGACCAGTAATGATCGAGATCGAACTCAAGCAAGACCGAAGATAGCATAATAACGGAAAGGCGAGATATCCGTCGAGAATCACGGCGGAATCCCGGAACAGATCGAATCAAGGACGGTTATTTAGCTAATCATGGGATTTTCTTTTGTAATTAGAATTATACCGTAAATAGGATTCCTCTATTATATAAAGAGGGTTTGAACCATTTGTAATCATGTGACATTCACGCATATCAAAGCAATACAATAATCTTTTCTCTTATACTCTCTTGTTCATCAGTTGGTTTCATAACTCTACTCTCACTCACTCAGTTCGAGGGCGATCTAGCTCGAGGGCTGAATTGCATTTCAATATTGGTTTGCTTTACTTTGTTGTTTATTTTTACTATTAATCATCGTATTTATCTTTTTTTTTTTTTTTTGATAATAGGGATATTTATATTATATAAATATTAAATATAGTCCACCGTACATAAACTTAGAGAATGGAAATTGTCACAGCATGGTAAACCAGTGTTTGTAACGTTTTTGTTGCCTAAAAGTCTTAATCTATTACAAGCCATAGTATCTAGTGATATCTTGGATAAGTAGCCAACATCCAGATCTTTAGCAACTTGTTCGATTACAAAAGAGGGAGGAGCCGGATGCAGTTTAGGGATATCCTTGCAAGCTTGCCAAAATGTCTCCTTGCATGCGTCCTTCGCCAAAAGGTGAGCTGTTTGATTTCCTTCCCGGAAGTTATGCCGTAGTGACAGGTCCTTCCGCTGGAGCATCAATAATCTGCACGAATAGACAATATTAGTCATGACAAAGTGATCGTTGTTTAGTGCATGAATAGCTTCTGTGGAGTCCGTTTCAATCTCTAATGGAAACAGGTTGTATTTAGTAGCTATTTTGAATCCTTCAGGATTGCTTGGAGTTCTGCATGCAAAGGTGAGAGAGCTAATCATCGTATTTATCAATTGGTGCTAGATAAAATTACATATCCTTAAAACTACTTATAAATTTAATTGTTATTCGATTTTAAGGTAAACACAACCAATTTTAGTTTTCAGCAAAGATTGAAAAACTTTTGTCCAAAGGATGTTAGGTAAAAAAGAATTTCAGCGTTTTCAAAAAGTGGAATGACTTTTGGGAGATAAAATTTCTTCGCAACTGTTTGACATTTTATTTTATTTTAAAATACTTTTAAATAAAATCAAATTATATGCGGTTAGTTAACCATCTCAACATGGAATAATTGACATGAGAGTATTGAGACTGAAGATGGTATGCGTATATAGTTTCGTGTAAACTGTGTGTTTACAACTCACTCAAAAGTAACAAATGACTTTAATTAGCTGCGTTACAACTTTTACTTCTTCTCCCTCCTCGAGTCAAACTTGGCTTTAGTAATTAGTTTTTCAATGACTGCGCACTCAAAAGAGAGAGACTATGGTTTAAATTAGAGAAAGCTTAAGAAATTACGGAGAGACTTAGGTGAAAAACTTGTTAAGGTTATATACATCGTCAGTATAAAAAAAATTATATCATCAAGTTATTTTTACTTATTATAATAGATAATTTATCTTAATTTTAAAATTATTATAGTGCTTTAAATAATATGATAGTATAAAAATATTTTTATAATAACGGTGTACGTAACTTAAACTCAACTTGTTTACCACAAACGTGAACCAGGAAAAGCCACTAAATACTCCCTCCAATCCATAATAAGTGACTTTTTGGCCTTTGGCACATCCCTAAAAAAAAGATACTACTCCCTCCGGTTCACAATAAGTGACCAATTTGCTTTTTATTTTGGTCCAAAATAAGTGTCCATTTATATAATCAAGAAAAAATTTAATTTGTTTTTCCAAATTACCCTTATGTACAATATTCCTAAAAAGTCTTTTACTCCTCACATTAACAACATTTAATTAAGGGTGGTTTAGTCACACTAACTATTTTTGTCTAAAAATTTTGTATTTTCTTAATGGGTGTGCCCAAGGCAAATTGGTTACTTATTATGGACCGGAGGAAGTAACTCTTAAAAAAAAAAGGTATTTTGACCAAATTGCCCATAATTAAAATTTGCATATTGTTAACTTGACACTGGGATATGTAAATAACGGCAAAATTTGAAAACACAAAGTTAATTCTTTCTTGATTATATGAAATTTCACTTATTTTAGACCAAAATAAAAAAACAAAAATTCACTTAGGGTAAAAAAATAATGGGAAACCGTTCCCTCGTGTTATGGACTTGCTTGTTAAAAACCTAACTGTAAAGTTACAAAGGGTTATATTATCAAGCATGATTTTTATTTTTTTTTCATCGTATTATCGAGCATGATATATAGATTGAGTGATTCAAGGAAATTTACCACTTGCCCATGTTCTTCTCCTTAAATTAAATTCTGTCCGTTAATCACCATACCTTTTATTTTTATATATATTTATACTGGTGGATCACGCAATTTCATACTAAACGCATTCTTTTGGCTTTGACAAAAGTCCTCAATTCTCATGTTTAAATTAACAAAATTCGCATAAATAATATTAGGGGTTGGATCAAGTTCTTTGACAAGAATTAAGTTTACCCATTTTACCAAGAATGTATACATGTGTTAAAACACAAATTTTATAATCTTGAAATAGTGCCTCTTTTACCTAACATTTGGAGCTAACTCTTTTACCTAACATTTGGAACTAACTCAGAAAAAAATCTGGTGGAAATAGTAATTAAACTTAAAATATTTTACTGATAATTAATCTCATTTGCTTTTTTTAGTTATCTTAGGTGCATGATCTTTCGTTTTACTATATACCAATCTAACCAAATACATAGTGTATGAAAGCATTTAATAGTTGTAAATATAAAAGTGTTTCTTAGCACCTACAAACACCGTCTTGTACGTAATATGTTAGCTAAGAGTAGTGTTTTCTATATATTATTAGTGTAGTTAATATTTTTCTCCATTTTTCATCCTTTCCGTGCCTTGTCTAATATTTTATGAAGAGTCTAGTTTATATTCTAACAAAATCATATTTCATTTTTTAAATATTATCCTCTTTGTATTCGATCAGGCTTTGAATTTCCCCAGGTGCTTCTTGTACCCTAAACCATTTTTATATCAACAAAAAGTTAGCAGTTCATAACCCAAGGATTTGACTTGGTTTTTTGGACTCTGGACTTTCTATAAATCTCCTGCTTTTCCTCTCCTTTGTTGAAGAGTGACAGACAAACATACCCTTAACAAAATAAAGAGGTCAAAATGCTGTCCTTAAGTTTTAGTAGCTTTATGCTCGTTCTGCTCTTCATTTTGCTATTCATAAACGATGCTATTGCTCATACTGACAAAGGTATAACTGATTACTTTTCTTCATACCCTTCAATGAGTGTATATAATTTCTCTTAATTTAAAATTTTCCTTTTTGGTGAAATCTCATTAATTAGTTGTTTATATACGCATTTTTGCAGGTAAACAAAATTTTGTGGTCAATGAAGCTGGAAATGATATTGTTAAGGCAGGAAGGAACCACCTTAGTGTGGAGAAGGTATACATTTGCTATTTCTCCTTTAGTCATAATTGAGTTTAACTTATATATTGTGAAAATGTAAAGAATTCTAATACTATCAGGTTTATAATATATACTTTCAATATAAATAATTTTATGCCATTAGATTATACTTATATATATTCTAGCAGGTAACGTATTTTTTTTCAAGATTATAAATCTTGCATTTTAAAAGGCTTAATTACTGTAAATATCTTTTCGGTGATATGATCGTGCAAAAATTTCGTTGCACTAACGGTATAATTAAACTCATTTTTCAGGTAACTTGTTCCATTTATTACGAACATTTACTTGAAAATTAATGATCTCTTTAGTGATCAGACGGTGTAAAATTCTTTAATAAAGTTAAACTCATAGTTAATTAACTCACTACTTGTTGCCTGTCAAGACTCTAGTAATTAATCATGTGAAACTTCTTGAAATTCCAGGAAGTTATTGAATTTGAAGGTATAACTCCAGCATCTATTCAATTTGCCAGTGACAGAGTTGGAGGAAGAAAGACAATGTTGGAGCAAAGGAATATGAAGCAAAGTACTAAGAAAATTAAAGCCATGCCAAGTAAAGGGCAGGGAAAACTGAGAATGCAAAGTAAATTAAATGGCAGAAATAGCCATTCTGATAATGTGAAGGTCAATAGAGGAAGTTTCACAGCATTCAGTGCTGATTATCACATGCCAAGAACACACCCTCCAAAGAATAACTGAGCTACACAATTCTTGAATTTTTGACGTATCATCATATTCTTTACTCTTTATAGTTAGATGCTCTTGTGAAAACAACTAATTATATATCGTTATGTATCTAATATTGGAAAATCAAGCAAAGATCTAAAGGATTTTCAAGTTTTCATTTGCTACATGCAGTTTTCTTTTCTTGTTCCTTTCTCATTGTACTATATAGTTAATAATGTTAATGTTACAGTTTTAATTCGTGTTACCCTTTTCTTATGTTACAAATACCACTGCTCAAAACATGAATTAAGACTATATATTTATTGGCTAATGCTTTAATATGGTCCAAATTGGACATTCTAATATCAACATGGTCTCAACCAGTTATTTGTACACCATGCTCCTTTACAATTTTTAATTTAAGAAAATATAAAAGCAAATCTCTCATGTGTAAAAAAAAAAAAAATAGGGTCGTAAAACTAAAAACAAGTTTGTAAAGCCAAAAAATCAATTGACCACGTGAATATTTGTGAACCAAGAAATTTCGGTCAAGATCTGTTAGATTGCATGAAAACAAGCAAAAATGGTGAAGAAATTGGAAATCCAAACTAGAAGAAGAAGGTTCCAGAGAGAAAAGAGTTTATGACGTTCTTACATAATGACCCGTAGGTCTCCAACCCGGAAACTCAAAATGTATATATCCAGGCCCAAAATATAGATATTTGACTCAACTATATAATTACAAAGCCCAAATATACAAGGCCCAATATAAGTCCAACAGCCCCCCTCAAGTTGGAGGGTGGTTGGCCACACCCAACTTGCTCAAAATAGATCTGTGAGTAACCCCTGTGAGTGGCTTAGTCAGCATATCGGCCAGTTGTAATTTGCTGGGAACATATGACAAGGAAATGAGTCCATCTTGGAGTTTCTCGCGAACAAAATGGCAATCCAACTCTATATGTTTCGTATGCTCATGAAACACCGGATTCCGAGCAATGTAGATGGCGGACTGACTATCACAATGTAAAGGGACTGGAACAATAGAAGTAACAGAGAGGTCATGTAACAACCTGGTAAGCCAAGCAAGTTCCGCAACAACGCGACGCATTGAACGATACTCAGCTTCGGTGGAGGACAAGGAGACAGTGTGCTGCTTTTTAGACTTCCATGTGAGTAGAGAACCACCAAGTAACACCAAATAACCACTAACAGACCTCCGAGAATTAGGACAAGAAGCCCAGTCCGAATCACAATAAGCATGTAAGGAGAAATCAGAAAGAGGAAATATAAACAAACCCTGTCCCAAAGTACCTTTGACATACTTAAGTACATGATAAGCAGCAGAAAGATGAGATGAAGTAGGGGCATGCATAAACTGACTCAACAATTGTATAGAGAAAGCTAAATCAGGCCTGGTATTTGTTAGAAAATTCAGTTTGCCAATAAGCTTCCTATACAAGGAAGGATCAGACAAAGGCTCCCCATCTTCAATAGAGAGTTTCAGATTCACATCTAAGGGGCTTGCAACAGCATGACAATCTAGACAATTGAATTCAGATAAAAGGTCCAAAGCAAATTTCCTTTGGCAGATGATAACACCTCCAGATTCAGTGATAATTTCCAAACCCAAAAAATAATGCAAAGACCCTAAGTCTTTTATCTTGAATTGAGCATCTAGAAATAACTTGAGAGAACTCATCTCCTCTTCATCATTACCACTCAAGAGAATATCATCAACATAAACAGCAACAATTATAATATGAGAACTAGTAGACTTGACAAACAAGGAGTAATCATTTTTTGAAACTGAGTAGCCTTTAGAAACAAGAGAATCACTTAATTTTGAATACCATTGCCTAGAAGCTTGCTTGAGCCCATATAAGGATTTGTTCAACTTACAAACCATGTTAGGGGAAGAAACACTAAGGCCCTGGGGTATTTTCATATACATCTCTTCATCTAGGTCTCCGTGTAAGAAAGCATTATTGACGTCCAATTGATACATAGACCAACCCTTTTTGACTGCCACAGCTATGAGAGTTCTGATAGTGGTCATTTTGACCACGGGGGAAAAAGTTTCATTGTAATCAATTCCCTCTTGTTGGGTATCACCCCGTACCACCAACCTAGCTTTGAATCTCTCTATACTACCATCAGCTTTATGTTTTATCTTATAAACCCATTTGTTACCAATTGGTTTCTTTCCTACAGGGAGAGGGACTATATCCCAGGTTTGATTGAGTTCAAGGGCCTCAAATTCCTTCAACATAGCAGCCTGCCAAGCTGGATGCAAGACTGCCTGATGAAAGCTGGAGGGTTCATGTACAGTGTTCAAATCAAACTCTGATTGACTGAACTTAGACTACTGAAGCATATAGAATTAGGTGAAACAGGAATGGAAGTTAGAGTAGGAGGAGGAAGGGCACCACAAAAATAATCTGATAAGTAAGAGGGAGGATTATGTTATCTGGAAGGGTATCTTGAAGTGAGAGGAAGTGAGGAGGAAAGTGTATTAGGTGAAGGAGGTGAAGAGACATGTTCAGAAGATGTCATTCCAGGGGAAGCCACAAGATCAGAAGATGAAAGAGGAGGATTTGAGGGTGGGGGAGAAGGGATAAGAGTGAAAATAGAAGGAGAGGGTGTAACAGGACAATGCTCTGTAAGTGAAGGAGCAATACATGAAGGAGGTGGTGAAGTGGAATCATGGAAGATGGGTGCAGCAGGAAATAAAACATTGGAAGAAGGAGTCTCTGAGTAAGGAAAGATGTCTTCATGAAAAACAACATCCCTAGAAACAATGATTTTCTTATCAGAAAGTTGTAGAAGTTTATAGGCCTTTTTTCCAGGGGGTATCTCAACAAGACACAAGCATTAGACCGAGGAGAGAACTTATTTCTATGGGGTTTAGGAATCATTGCATAACATAAACAACCAAAGCTTCTTAAGTGGTTGTAAGAAGGTTGCTCCCCAGTTAAAATCTCATAAGGAGTCTTGCCAGATAAGAAATTACTAGGAAATCTATTGATTAAGTAGGTGGCTGTTAGAATGCAATCTCCCCAAAATGAAACTGGGAGTTTGGATTGGAAAAGTAAAGCTCTTGCTGTTTCTAGCAAATGTTTATGTTTTCTTTTAACAATTCCATTTTGTTGTGGCGTATAAGGACAAGATGTTTGGTGTAGAATGCCTTTGGACTGAAAAAATTGAGTAGCTTCATGACTGGTACCAAGTTCCAAAGCATTATCTGTTCGAATGGTCTTGATCTTGGTGTTGAATTGAGTTTCAACCATAGAGAAGAAAGATTTTAGAATGGACAGAGCATTGCCCTTATTACTTAAGAGATGTGTCCAGGTGTTCCTACTACAATCATCCACAATTGTGAGAAAATATCTATAAGATCTATGTGTGGCAGTGTGATAAGGACCCCAAACATCCACATGAATGAGATCAAATATATGTGAAGAATGAGAATTACTATCAGGAAAAGAATTTCTTTGTTGTCTAGCAAGTGGACATATATCACAAATGAAAGGCTGCTTAGAAAATGGTACATTCAAAGAGTTTATTTTCTGTAATTTCGAAAAAGGAAGGTGTCCCAACCTATTATGCCACAAAAGTTGGGACTTATTTGCACTTAATGTGTTTTCATGAACAGAAAAGGGAATTAAAGCAGGACAATGAGAGGTTGATGAGGATCCAGAAGGTGTCACTGAAGATTGTATGCTGGAGTTGTAAAGATAGAGCCCTTCAGCCATCTTACCAAGTACCAATGGCATCCTCAGAGAAGGGCCCTGTAGTAGAAAACAAGCATGTTGAGAAAAACATAGCAATGATAAAGTATCAACTAATAACTTGTGGACTGAAATGAGATTGTATTTAAAAGTAGGCACATATAGCACCTTGGACAGAATAACTAAAGAGTTTAATTTGACAGAACCAATTGAGGTCACTTTGACTTTATACCCATTGGGTAATGTGATGAGGTAGGGAACAGATAAAGTTGTTATATTTGTAAGCAAAGATTTGTTAAAGGTCATGTGATCTGATGCTCCAGAATCTAATATCCAGGTTTCAGAAGTTAGAACACTACTTAAACAAGTACAATTACCACAACTCATCAGATGAGCAGAAAAAGCAAAAATACCTGCAAAATTAGCTGTGGTAGATTGGCTTTGAGAATCATCAAAACCAACTTGAACATGTTGAAGGATAGTCATGAGCTGCTTGTATTGATCAGGTGTGATGATGTTGGTGTTATTCTCATGAGACTGGTCAAGCTTAGCATCAGAAGATGAATGGACAGGTGCAGCAACTCGGATATTCTTGTTCCCTGATTTTGGAGGTTGTGGAAACCCATGTAACTTGAAGCACTTCTCAATTATATGTCCTGTCTTTTTACAATTTCTGCAATAGGGCCTTTTTGGATCATATCCTCCCTTCTGGTTGTTGAGACTTGGATTTGGATTGTTAAAAGTATATCTTTGTGTGAAATTTGTGGTTTGTGGTGGTTTTGGAGTATAGGTATGACCATTCGACCTAGCAGTGAAAGCTGCAGATTCAGACTGAAAACCAGGGACATTGTGAATCCCTCGCTGCTTCTCGTCTTGAACAACTAGAGAATAGGCCTTGCCAACTTCAGGAAGTGGCTGCATCATCAGAATATTTCCTCTAGCATTGTTGAACACCTCATTCAAACCCATCAAAAACTGCATCAATTTCTGATTTTCCATCTTTTTTATCATTTTGTGTTTACCTCCACATTTGCATTCGCAAACACAAAAAGAATCAGCATCAAGTGACTCCATTTCATCCCAAAGTCTTTTAACCCTAGTGAAATAACTTCCTACATCAGAAGAACCTTGAGATATAGTGCTTAGGTCTTTTTGAACTTCATACATCTTAGCACCATTCGCTTGCCCATACCTTTGGTTCAATTCATCCCATAGACTCTTAGCAGACTTAGAGTATATAACACTTTGTGAAATGTCGGGATCTAAGGAATTAAGAATCCAGCTGATTATCATGTTATTACACTGTTCCCAGTGTTCAAACAAAGGAGAATCGGGAGAGGGCTGGACATAACTCCCATTAATGAACCCTAATTTCTTCTTTGCCCCCAAAGCTATGATAATGCCTCTTCTCCAGGCTCCAAAACATTCCCCATTGAATTGTTTTGTCACGAGAACAATACCAGGATTGTCAGAAGGATGAAGATAGAATGGGTGAGAAGGAGGTAAAACAAATTCAGTTTGAGTGAAAGTGGGGGTG